CCGGCCTAATCCATGCCTCTGACATCCGGAACAACCCCCCCCTGGTTGCCAGCAACGAACCCTCGACATTCGCTCCGCACCCTCTGGTTCGGTGCCCATCGGCGCGCCGGTTGGCTGGCATTGTCGGGGGAGGTGTGTACCTGGCGGTTTGTTCCCTGGGCCATCCTGTGGTGGGGCCGCTATTCCCCGATTGGCAGAGAGCCGATCCCAGGTAACGGGGTTCCGCGCCTCTCTCACCGGGGCGCTTTTCTCTCATTTGGTACGGCACCAAGCGCCAATGGCAATCAAAGCTGGCGGCGATCTGGGAGCCTTTACCTTCATGCTCCTGGTGTTCATAACGCAGTGCCTGTGGTCACGCGACTGTCGCACTGTCGATGATACCAGCTCTGGAAGCCTCGATCCTACCGCCTTCTACACCGTGATCAAAAGCTTCCATGGCGGTTTGGCCGATTATCTTCCTGTGTGGCCTACGCGATGCGTCGCTGGGGCGGCTACCGGGATACATTGGCATCGCGCCGTCTCGGCGCCAGCAAGGTGTGCCTTGCCGTCACGGCTGTGGCACACCGCCTACCACCTGTTCGCTTCTTCATCACCTACTGGTACGGCCGGCTGTGAAATAGCGACGACACATCCTCAATATCTGATGTCCAGTCGTCGGGCCGGTATCTTCTGTCAACTGTTCTTCACTCTTCATCCATTCCCGATACTGGTCTCCAACCACGCCCGACGTGCCTTGTGCGCGCGCCGCTGTGCGCCGTGTTCATCATCATTGGGTTGCTGCTGTTCCACATCCGCATCTTTGCGCGGCGTTTGCATCGTCCCCGGGCGAGGATTTGTACGCTTCCTCATGCTTGAAGTGCCCAGTCCACCTTCCCCGATCTGTGGGACTCTTTCTGATCCTGGGGCCTTTGGCATCGTGATGCTGGTGTTCCGCCTCGCGATATGATGCTCTTCCCTCCGCTCTCACTGTGGGAGATGAAGGAAGGCTCCATGTACCAGAGAGTCCGACACGCTGTTCCACGTGCCGATACCTGGTGCTAGGCAAACCCGAATTCGCCAACACGCCGACACGGACTCACTTTGCCAGGCAAAGCATAACCGCTACTCCCACGACACACACAGTAACGACACACAAGAGTAGTCAAATGCAGGAAGGCAAAGCCCTACCCCCGCAGCGCAAATAAACCGGGACCTGCTGCGGTCCATACTGGAAACGCCACAATGGTTCTGGCCGGTAGTGACGCTGCTGGGCCTGATCGTGCTGGCGGCGGCCATCACCATCGGCGTGATGATAAACCTTGGTTTGGGCATTACCGGCCTGAACTACAAGGTCGTGTGGGGTTTCTTCATTACCAACTTTGTGTTCTGGATTGGTATCAGCCACGCCGGCGTAATGCTCTCTGCAATCCTGCGACTCGCCAAGGCGGAATGGCGCCGACCCGCGACCCGCGCCGCCGAAGTGTTGACCATTTTCTCGCTGATGACAGCGATGATAATGCCGATCATACACACCGGCCGGCCGTGGCGCATCCTGTACTGGGCGTTCCCTTATGACTTTGCCCGAGGAGTCTGGCCGAACATCCGCACCCCGTTGGTGTGGGACCCGTCGGCCATCCTCACCTACCTCACATCGTCGACCATGTTCGTAGCGATCGCACTGGTCCCCGACTTTGCCGTGCTGCGCGACCGGACAACCGGCTGGCCGCACCGCATGTACACCCTGCTGGCCATGGGCTGGGAGGGCAACCCGCGCCAGTGGAAGCTGCAAATCATTGCCGGCGTGTTGCTGTCGGCCCTCATCCTGCCGGTTTTCGTCTCCGTGCACTCCATAGTGTCCTGGGACTTCGGCATGGCGGTGGCCATCAAATCGTGGCACAGCACGGTGTTCGCTCCCTACTTCGTCGTTGGCGCGGTTCACTCCGGTGTGTCGGCAGTGGTGTTTGCGCTCATCTTACTGCGCTGGGCCTACGGCTGGCAGGACTATATCCGCCACGAGCACATTGACGCGCTGGGCCGTCTGCTCATCGTGGTGGCGACCGGCTGGTTCTACTTCCTGGTGATGGAAATCGTTTTCGGCATCTATGGGCTGGAGAACGACGAACTGGCGGTGCGTGCGCTGCAGTTCCTGCCCGGCGATAGTGGTGTGCCTTACAATATCTGGATGATTTTCTTCGTGGGCATCACCTACTTCCTGCCGGTCATATTGTGGCTGCCGAGGGCGTTCCGGCGCAACCTGTGGATAATGTCCGCCGCGTGTATTTCGGTAAACGTGGGCATGTGGCTGGAACGCTACCTGTTGTTCGTACCGGGCCAGGCCAACAAGCAGTTCCTGACCTTCACATGGAACGACTACCTGCCGCAGTGGCCGGAGGCACTGATTGTGGGGGCTACGTTTGCCTTCGTTACGATGCTGATGCTGCTGTTCAGCCGGGTGTTCCCGCTGGTGCCGCTTTACGACGTCAAGGAAGGCGAGATTCTGAGAACCGAAATCCGGATTGGTCGGCGCGTTGTTCCGGCTACGTTCCGTGAAGATTAACCGGCTTGCCGGTCTTTCAACTACATCCAATTATTGAGTAGAATCGGTCAAACTGACCCGCACCAACCACGCCAAATCAGGAATTATCGTTATGGCAAAACATGCAATTCTGGGGCTGTTCCAGGACGCCGAGTCGGCCGCCAATGCTGGCGACGAGCTCAAGTCCGCCGGGATTGCCGACACTGAGTATGACTTTCTGACCGACACGCCCTATCCGGAAGGCGCGTTTGGGGAGCGCGAAGAGAAGCACCGGCTTTACCTGTACCCGTTTATCGGGGCTCTCCTCGGCCTCACGTCCGGGATTATGATTACGGCCATGACCCAGGTGGCCTACCCACTGGTCACGGGAGGCAAGCCCATCCTGTCGTTGCCCCCGATGGCCATCGTTTGCTACGAAGGCACGATGTTGGGCGCCATTCTGTTCACCGTTATCGGCATCGTGTTCGAGTCTCGACTGCCCAAGTTTAAGCTGGGTCTCTATGACAACCGCATCACCCAGGGTTTCATCGGCCTGCTGGTTAACGCTGAGCAGGAGCAGGGCCCACAGGTGTTGCAGATACTGAACGGAGCCGGCGCTGTTGATGTCAAGTCGGCAGACGATTAAGCTGGCCCTTCAGGTACTGACGAATATCAAGATGAGCAAATTGATGACACGCGCGACGGCAATTGGATGGCGGCTACCGGTATTGATGGCGGCGTTGGTTGCCGTCGGGATACTGTCGGCCGGCTGCTCGCAGGGTGCGTATCCGCTGGATATCTTCTACGAGATGCACTACCAGCCGTCCTACCGGGTCCATGAGCCGCCGCGGTTGAGCCCGCCCGAATCGGCGGTGCCGTGGTACGGTTCCACGCCCCCGCAGCCCACATCATTCGCGGGTTCCGGCAAGCACCTGTTTGAAGTCAACTGTGTGATGTGCCACGGGGCAGCAGGCCAGGGCGATGGCCCGGTGCTGGCGCGCATGGCGGTGGATTATGGCTACCGCACCACCGATGCACCGCTACTGAATCCCATCCTCACCTCTCCCGTCGCCACCGGGCTCGACCGCGACGCTTTGCGCGGCGTGCTGAACGGCGGGGTGAACGTGATGCCTAACTTCTCCAAGCTCCTCACGCCAGACCAGATTGAGCTGGTGCTGGACTATGTTCAAGGCTGCATCCAACAGGGCGATGCCGCTGCGTGTCAGTAGCCTTGGGCTGACCATGAACTCGCTTCGATGATATGGTGTTTGTAGAGGACCGGGCGGCATAGGCCACATCGAATTGCGCTCGCCTCGGTCCGCCGGGGCGATTTGCGTATCGTTGGCTCGTGTGATTTATGAGGCGTTTTCCTGGCATCGCGGCGTCCTGGGCGCCGGCTTATTGGTGGCAATACTGGCCGGCGTCGCCATGGGTTACGCCGGCGGCGCAGTCTTTGCCCAGTCGGATGGTGTCGAAGGCGCTCCAGCGGCATACGATGAAGCCGAGGCGCAGGCGATTGACCGGATGCTGATGTGTCCCGTCTGCCCGGCGGAGAGCATAGACCAGGCCCAGGTGCCCCTGGCCAGGCAGATGCGCGCCCAGGTGCGGCAGTTGCTCGGTGATGGCGCCTCCAGGGACGAAGTGCTGGACTGGTTCAAAGCCCGCTACGGCCCGAGCATTGTGGCCGAACCACCCCGCTCCGGGTTCAACCTGATTGCCTGGATTGTGCCGGGGGTTGCGCTCATAGCCGGGCTGGCTGGTGGAGTGTTGGCCTTGCTATCCATGCGCCGCCGCACCGACGATGAGACTGCCAGCAATCTGAGCGACGTTGACCCCGCATTGCAGCCGTACCTTGCCGCCGTCGACCGCGACCTGGCGCTGGATGCCGGGGACCGAGAGGGGCGCAACGATGGGTGATCTCGGGGCCACCTGCCTGTGGATGGCGCTGGCGTTGGCCGGTTATGCGTTTGCGGCCTCGGTGGCCGGCCAGGCACGCGGCGCACCGGCCCTGGTCGATAGCGGGCGTAAGGCGTGCTACGTCCTGGTGCTGGTGCTGCTGGTGGCTACTCTATCGCTGGTGCAGTCCTTCATCACCCGCGATTTCTCGCTGGCCTACGTTGCCGCGCACAGCAACCTGGCGATGCCCAACATCTACACCTGGGTGGCATTTTACGCCGGCAACGAGGGCTCACTGCTATACATCGCGTTCGCCCTGTCGGTCATGGCGGCGGTGGCGATCTGGCTGGCGCCGGCGGCCACCCGCCCCGACGCTGGCCTGGACGGTTGCCGTCCTGATGTTCATCGAGCTGTTCTTCATTGCGGTAATGGCGTTCATGGCCAACCCGTTCCAGCGGTTGCCCTTTGCGGTGCCCGACGGCCAGGGCATCAACCCGCTGCTCACCCACTTCGGGATGTTCTTCCACCCACCGGCATTGATGGCCGGGCTGGTGGGGATCAGCATACCCTTTGCATTCTCGCTGGGCGGACTCATCGGCGGGCGCGCCGGCGACGAGTGGATTGACGCCGGGCGCGCTTGGGGAGTTGGCATCTGGGCGTTGCTGGCTGCCGGCCTGCTGCTGGGGTCGTGGTGGGCGTACACCATCCTGGGCTGGGGCGGTTTCTGGTTCTGGGATCCGGTGGAAAACGCCGCCTTCATGCCCTGGATTGCCCTCACCGCCTTCGTACACTCCATCATGGTGCAGAAGCGCCGGGGAATGTTCCGAATGTGGAACATCGTGCTGATTGACGTGGCCTTCGCGCTGGCGCTGTACGGGATGTTCATGAACCGCGGCGGGCCGGTGCCGTCGGTGCACTCCTTCGGAGCATCGACGCTGGGTTGGGTGTTCCTGCTGTTCCTCGCGGTGGGCGTGGTGGTTCCGCTGGCGATATTCTTTTGGCGATACGACCGGATGCGCAGCGCCCAGCGGCTGGACTCCCTGCTGTCGCGGGAAGCGGCATTCCTGCTGAACAACCTGCTACTGCTGGGCGTCGCCTTCGCCACGCTGTGGGGCACCGTGTACCCGCTGCTGTCCCGCCTGTTCGCCGACCAGGAAATCACGGTGGCACGCCCCTTCTACGATCAGGTCAACGGCCCGTTGATGCTGGCGTTGGTGCTCTTGATGGGCGTCGGGCCCCTCCTGCCCTGGCGTCGTGCCAACCTGCAATCATTGCGGCGTGCACTGATGCTGCCGGGGTCGGTGGCGGCAGCAATGGTGGTTGTTCTACTGGTTGCGGGAATTCGCCAACCCTATGCTGTAATCGGTTTTGCCCTGTGCGCCCTGGTCGCCACTGGCATCGTAGCCGAGTGGGTTCGTGGCGTGGTAGCGCGCCGCCGCAGCGCCGGCGACAATCCGGCCATCGGATTCCTGCGGTTGATTGCCGCGAACCGACCACGCTACGGCGGCTACATCGTGCATCTGGCTGTCATAATGGTCGCGCTGGGCGTGGTAGGCCAGTCGTTCTACGGGGTGCAGCGCGACGTGGTGCTTGCGCCAGGAGAGTCGGTTACGGTGCGTGACTACCGCATGGAATACGTGGACACAACGACCTTCGCGTTCTCCGACCGCACCGAATTCCGCTCCACGGTCGAGTTATATCGCGATGGGGAGTTGCTGGAAGTGATGCAGCCTCGCCGCACGTTTCATCCCGAACAGAACATGGCGGCTACCCGAGCGGCCATCCGCTCCACGCCGGTGGAGGATTTTTACGTGGTGCCCAGCGAAAACATTGACGGTGGCGCGGTGGGTTTCCGCGTCCTGGTCAATCCGCTGGTGTGGTGGATGTGGGTCGCTGGCGCGGTGATGATTGCCGGTACAGTGGTGGCCTTGTGGCCGTCCCGCGTTCCGGAGCGCCGGCCCGTGCCAGCCCCGGCGGTCGCCGGCCCCGCCGCCGCCGACTAGTCTGGCCAGGCTGGACGAGATTCGATGCAGCTGGCTTTAGCCATCGCGGTGGCGTTGTTCGCGCTGAGCGTGGTGGCGTGGCCGTTGGCGATCGGGGCGCGCAGAAACCGGGCCGACACCGCCGCCGACCTTGAGCCTGCCAACACCAACCGGGCCGCCCTAGAAACCGTGTACGAAGCAATCCGCACGCTGCAGGTTGAGCACGATCTCGGCCGCATTGCCGACGACGATTTCCGCGCGCAACTAGCCGAGTATCGCCACGCAGCCGCGGAAAACTTGCGGAGCTTGAATCCACCCGCCGTCAACAACGCCGCAGAGACTCAGCCGTGAAGCGCGCTGGACTGGTCTTGGTGGCGGGACTGGCCGCCATGCTGCTGCTGGGGGTGGCGCCGGCGACGTTGTTCTCCCAGACCGTTCCGGACACCATGTCGGTGTCGGGTACGCTGGGTTAACGGCACCGCCGGCGGAGCATCTCCCGCCGGCGCAACGATGTTGCTGCACGTTTTCGGGCCGGATACGGCGTCAGTTGACACCCATGAGGCGTTGACCAACTCTGAGGGAATGTTTCAATTCGACGATGTGCCCGTGCCTTCAGAGGGAGGTAGTGTGGCGCTGGTGGTGATTATGGAGGCGCGCGGTACCGCAAGGTCGTTTCGCCGGCCGAGTTGACCAATCCACTGTCGTTAATCGTTTACGACGCCACTCAGGATGCCAAGGTGGTAGCCACCACCGAACAGTCCATCATTGTAGCCGGAGTGGACGCCTCGACCCGGCGCATAGCTGCGGTTCAGCTCTTTAGCCTTGAGAATCGCAGCGACACTACCCTGGTGCCCGATTTGTCGGCGATGCCGGTGTTGGGTCAGTTCAGTTTCCTGCGGTTCTCGTTGCCGCGCGACGCATCCGACCTGGACGTGGCTACGGATCTGGTTGGCGGTGAAGTGATTCCGGTGGGCACTGGATTTGCCATCACCGCGCCGGTGCCACCGGGGGAACACCAGGTGAGCTTCACCTTCACCGTTCCCTACGAGGGCGATACCCTGGCCTGGCGCGACAATACGCTGCAAGGGGCCGACGCGTTCCGGCTGCTGATTCCGGCGGAGTTTGGCGGCATCGGCGTAGGCGGATTGCCTTCCGGGGAAACGATTGTAGTCTCCGACGTGTCGTATTGGGTTTGGCAGGCCAATAACATCGCGCCCGGGGGAGGCGTCAATCTGGCGCTAACCGGCTTGCCGGAACCAAACCGGTTTTTGCTGATTGGCAACAGCCTGACGGGATTGCGGTTCTGGTATGCAGCGGTTCCGGCCCTGCTGGTCGTTTTGCTGGCGGGTCTGTTGGTTTGGGGGGTGTGGCATCGTTCGGGAGCATCGACGCCGCCAGGTCAGGTGGGGGCGTAACCGGCGATGTCCCGACGCGGCTGGATTGCGCTGGGTACCGCGGCGGCATTGATCCCGCTGTTCGCCCTGCTGGCGTGGGCGTCCGTTCAGCAGCAGGGTCAGCCCGCCGGCGCGGGCATCAACCAGAACTTCGGGCGGGTGGACGTCGATATCACGCCGGCAGCTGATTTCGCGCTGGAGTTGCCGGATGGCGGTGTGGTGCAGTTGTCCAACTTACGAGGCAAGGTGGTGATGGTAGACTTTTGGGCATCCTGGTGTGGTCCCTGCCGACAAAGAATCGGAGTTGCTGAATCGGGCTTACGACGGCTATGCGGGCCGGCCCGTGGAATTCGTGGGTGTGAACATCTGGGATACGGCTGAATCCGCCGCAGCTTTCGTGTCCGAATTTGACGTGAAGTATCCTACGGGTATGGACGAGTCGGGCAGCATCACCCTGGACTATGGTGTACGCGGCATTCCGGAGAAATTTTTTGTCAGTGCGGATGGTATCATCCGACAGAAATACGTCGGCCCGATGCCCGAGGCCGTGTTGATAACCACGCTGGAAAACTTGCTGGCCGAAATCGAACCCGGCGGCTAGTTCCCTGCGGTCAACAAATCGCTCAACTGCAACTGCAACGCCCGTACCGCCATCAATCGCAGCGCCATCAATCGCAGCACCGTGGGAGATACCGCCAAAAGATGACGACACCAGGCAGCAACGCCAACACCGGCGCGTCGGACTTGGCCCTGGCTATGGACTGGGGCGGAACCTGGGCGCGGGCTGCCCTGATTGACCGGGAAGGCCGGCTGCTGTGGCAAGACCGGATTGTCAATGCTGCCGGAGCGACGCAGGACGACCTGTTGGCTGCGGCGGGCAGCCTGCTCCAGCGGGCGCAGGCTCAGGCCGGCGACCGATCCATCGCCGGCGCCGGCATAGCGCTGGCCGGCTCCATTGACGCTGCCAGCAGTATGTTGCTGTCCTCGCCCAACCTGCCGGCGTTGAACGGCGCCAACCTGCCGGAATTGTGGGGGCCAATGCTCGGCCTGCCCGTTTGGGTGGGCAACGATGCCAACCTGGCCGCGCTGGGCGAATACCACTACGGGGCCGGGCGTCCGCAACCACCGAATCACGAGGCGGCTCGCACGCTGGTGTACCTGACTTTCAGCACGGGCGTCGGCGGTGGCATCGTCGACCGTGGCGTGGTGTTCACCGGAGCGGCCGGAGCCGCCGGCGAGGTTGGTCACATGACCATTGACGCCCGCGCCGATTCTCCCGCGTGCAACTGCGGCAACAACGGTTGCCTGGAAGCGTTGACTTCCGGCACGGCCATCGGTCGCGCTGCGCAGGCTCGCCTCGGCGACGCCACGCCAGGTGCTCCGCTCCAGCAGGCTTATGAGTCGGATGCGACGGTAACGAGCGAAGCCGTATTCGCCGCCGCAGCCCGTGGCGACGTGGTGGCGATAGAGGTGGTGGACGCTGCCGTAGGCGCAATGATCATCGGCTTGGGCAACGTGTGAACCTGTTCAACCCGGACGTGGTGGTGATCGGTGGCGGCGTAACCCAGGGGCTGGTTGCCCTGGGCCTCGTGGAGCACATCGAAGTGGGTATGCGCCGCCGGGCGATGAGTTCGGGCCAACGGGCCTTTCGCCTGTCGGTCGCCACCCTCGGTGAGAACGAGGGCATGGTGGGCGCGGCCAGCCTGGTGTGGTCGCAGGTGGATCGAATCTAGACGTGGACGGGTTGGCTGGCGGCGCGCTCTCCGACTAAACGATGTAGCGACCACCCACCACGTTCATGCGGTCGCCGGTGATGTACGAGGATTCGTCGCTGGCGTAGAACAGGCACGCGTTGGCGATGTCCTGCACCGTGGCCTGACGCCTCAGCGGGATGCCATTCAGGTGTTCGTCAGAGCCGCGCTCAACGTCCTGAAACTCGGGATACCACTCCGGGTGAGCGCGGCTGGTGTCGGTGGAACCTGGGTTGACCAGATTGGCCCTCACACCGTACTCAGCGCATTCGGCGGCGACCGATCGGATGAGTCCAAGCAGGCCATGCTTGGCGGTAGTGACGATAGCAGTTTCCGGTCGACCGGTGATGGCAGCCTGCCCGCCCAGACCGATAATGCTACCGGAGCCGCGTTCTATCATCCCCGGCAGCACGCCGCGAATCAGATAGAAAGCAGCGTGCAGGTTGGTGGCCATAACGTCCTGCCACTCTTCAACCGACACTTCCAGCAGGGGTTTGTGGGGGCGCACCGCCACGTTGCTCACCAGCACATCCACCTTGCCCAACGCCTGAATGCCCTCGGCCACCATGTCAGCGACGCGGTCGGGGTCGCCCACGTCGCCAATGACGGTGTGGGTGCGGACGCCGAGTTCACGGCACTCGCCGGCTACCGCCTCCAACTCCTCGGCAGACTGCCGGGTGTTGAGGATCAGGTCGGCGCCCTCGCGGGCGAAGGTGCGGGCGATTTCGGCGCCAATATTGCGGCTGGCGCCAGTGATGAGCGCGGTTTTATTTTCAAGTCTCATATTTGTTTCCTTGACTGGTCTATTTGTCCTGTCGGTTCTGCCGCAGGAACTTTCTCCTTAGCCACACTATGAAAGCCCAGACCGGGACCCCGCCCACGGCTCCCAAAATCCCCAGGAAAAGATCAATATCGAAACGACCGATTAGTGCAATCGGGACCAGAGCAATTCCGGCCAGGCATAGTCCCGCAACAACGATGCCGACGGTAGCCAAGATGGCTTTGCCAACATATGACCAGAACTCCACTTATGCCCTGAAGTTGGTGGTCAGGACCAAGACGACGCCAGAGACTGCACTCACGAATCCACCAAGTCCGGCAATGGAACCACCGACGACTGAAGTGATTGGCGACCAGTCGGGTACCACGAATTCCCCGGTCAGCAGAGCTAGCATACCGACAAAGTACACCACCATCGACAACAAAAAAATCCGATCCCACATGATGTCGCCTCCTCTGCGTGTGCAATCAGGATAAAACCGGAGGGCATGCTTGTCAAAACAAATCGGGGGCGGCAAAGTGCCGCCCCCGAATCAGTGTTAGCGCGCTGCTGGTATCGGTCAGTATGGGCCGTAGCCCGGAACGTTGATGCAGGCCGCAACGTGGTCGGGCAGGATTTCCCGCGTTTCCGGCAAAACCCGCGAGCAGTCTTCGGTGACCATGGGGCACCGCGGATGGAACACGCAGCCGGATGGAGGATTCAGCGGGCTGGGAACCTCGCCGGTCAGAATGATGCGTTCTCGTTGAGCGTCCAGCACCGGGTCCGGAATCGGCACCGCTGACAGCAATGCCCGCGTGTACGGGTGCTGTGGGTTTTCGTAAATGGCGTTGCGGTCGGCAATCTCCACCAACTTGCCCAAGTACATTACTGCCACCCGGTCGCTGATGTGGCGCACCACCGACAGGTCGTGGGCGATGAAGAGGTAGGTCAGGTTGTATCGTTCCTGCAAGTCTTCCAGCAGGTTGATAATCTGGGCCTGAATCGACACGTCCAGCGCCGAAACGGGCTCGTCGCACACGATGAACGCTGGGTCGACCGACAGGGCGCGGGCCACGCCGATGCGCTGGCGTTGTCCGCCGCTGAATTCATGGGGGAAACGGTCGGCCATGTAGGGGTTGAGGCCAACGTTAGTGAGGAGTTCGGCCACACGCTCGCGGTATTCGCGTTTGTTGTTTACCAACCCGTGCACGGCAAGCGGTTCGCCGATAATGTTGCCGGCAGTCATGCGGGGATTCAGCGAGCTGTATGGATCCTGGAAAATTATCTGCATCTGGCGGCGCATGGCCCGCATCTGACCGGTGCGTGCCTGAGCCACATCAACCCCGTCGAACAGTATCTCGCCTTCGGTAGGCTTGTACAGGCGGAGGATGCAGCGCCCGGTGGTGGTTTTACCGCAACCGGATTCGCCCACCAGACCCAGCGTCTCGCCCCGGCGCACGGTGAAGCTGATGTCGTCAACGGCCTTGATATAGGCTACGGCGCGCTGGAACAGAATTCCGGAGGTAACGGGGAAGTACATCTTCAGACCGCGCACTTCCAGAAGCGTATCGTCCTGGCCGGTCGGCGTTGACGCGGCTTGTGGCATCTCAGCTGTGGTCATTTCGTAACTCCTTGTCGGAGGTTTGTCAGCGATAAACTGGACGGCGAAACAGCGCGATTAGAGCTGACTGCTTCTGCCGCCTGCGTAGCTAAGTGCCTGAACACCCAGCTTGTCTGCCTCCCAGCAGGCGGAAACGTGGGGCTCTTCGCCGGTGGTTAGCACCGGCATCAAGGGCGGTGCCTCGGTAGCGCACTTGTCCACTGCGAAGCGGCAGCGAGCACGGAAGGAGCAGCCTTCGGGAAGGTTTACCAAGTCGGGAGGCTGCCCTTCGATGGGTACCAATTTAGCCGCGGCGCCCGACGCATCCGTCAACCGCTGGTCAAGGCGAGGAACCGAGTCCAGCAGCCCCACGGTGTAGGGATGGCGCGGATTGGTGTAAATCTCCAGCGCCGAACCGCGCTCGATAATCTTGCCGGCGTACATCACGTTCACGCGGTCGGCGTAACGGGCCACCACGCCGAGGTTGTGGGTGATGATGATGAGGGCAACGCCCAGGTCAAGGGTGAGGGATTTCATCAACTCGAGAATTTGGGCTTGAATGGTAACGTCCAGCGCGGTGGTCGGCTCGTCGGCGATGATGAGCCGTGGGTTGCAGCTCAGGGCCATGGCAATCATTACGCGTTGGCGCATTCCGCCGCTGAACTGGTGAGGGTACTGACGAATCCGCTGGTCCGGGTCGGAGATACCAACCCTGGCGAGCAGCTCAATGGCGTCCCGGCGAGCTTCGTCCCGCGACTTGCCCATATGCAGCTGGATGGTTTCGGTCAACTGGCGGTCCAGGGTGAGCACCGGGTTCAGCGAGGTCATGGGTTCCTGGAAAACCATGGCCATTTTGGCGCCCCGGATGCGGCGCATATCGTCCATATCGACCTGGAGGATGTCTTCTCCGTCGAACAGGACTTCACCGCCGACTGTTTTGCCGGGCGGGTCTGGGATCAGGCGCATCAACGAAAGGGCGCTCACGCTCTTGCCGCATCCGCTTTCGCCGACCAGTCCCAGAGTTTCGCCGGGCATTACCTCGTAGGTTACGTCGTCAACGGCCTTCACCACACCTTCGTAGGTGAAGAAGTACGTTTGGAGATTTTTAACCTGAAGCAGCGGTTCCACAGGGATGCTCCTTATAGTTTGGGTGATGAGGCCGGCGCCGAACGCCGGCGGCGCTACACAGATTGGGTGTCAGCAGGTTTGGTCGGGTGTTGATTTGATGGAGGTGGTTCGGTTTGGAGTGGGGAAGTTGAGGATTATATTATCGGGCAAATTACCATACAGTTCAGAGGGCTGCAATCCTATTCAGAGGGCTGCAATGCGAAACTGAACCTGAATTTGGTGGATCTCAATGGCGATCACGATGGCCGCCCCGCGGATGGGCCAGCATTATTTTGGCAATTGGCCCGGTTCTATTCTGGTTATGGTAAGTGATATTGATGTTGTTGGCGACGTGTTACACGCGAATGTTGAGCGCCTCAGCGGTCCGTAAGATTTTACTCATTGCAGCGGAGGTTCTCCAGATGATTACACAACGTAGCGTGAAGCGTCAATATATTTTATTGCGTCATGCGTACCCACTTTGTCATTGCGAGCGCAGCGTGGCAATCCCGTCGCCGTAGCAACGGTGGTTCGCCAACGTGGGTTCAATCTCATCGAGATTGCCGCGCCGCTATGCTCCTCGCAATGACAGATCAAAGCGTGTACGCGTGGGCGATACGCCCCTCATGCGTACCCACTTTGTCATTGCGAGCGTAGCGTGGCAATCTCGTCATCGTAGCAACGGCGGTTTGCCGACGTGTGTTCAACCTCGTCGAGATTGCCGCGCCGCTATGCTCCTCGCAATGACAGATCAAAGCGTGTACGCGTGGGCGATATGCCCCGGTTGACCTGTCATCCTTGACCGGCGTATGGTGGCTACTCTGATTGGGGTTGGTGAGGGACTGGCGTCAGCATCAGCGATTACGCCCTTTTCCGCATGATGGCGCCCGACGGGGGAGCAACCCATTGGTTCGAATCCCCAATGCTCCGGTACTGGTGGTCCTGCAGGATCGGAACTTCCGGCTGCTGTGGGCAGCCAGATGGATCCACGAGACTTCCCGGCGCATGGAACTCATCGCGCTGGGTTACCTGATTTACGAACTCACCGACTCGGTCTTTCAGGTCGGGTTGATCTCAGTTTTTCTCAATGGGCCGCGGCCTCCATTTTCGCTGGTGGCCGGAATGCTGGCGGATCGATTGGACCGCTGGCGCATTCTGGCGGGCATCCACATCTTCTATCTGCTCGTTGCCGCGGGGTTGCTGATTCTCCTGATCCTGGGGCTCGTTCATCCCTGGCACGTGTTTGTAGCCATCCTGTTGCAGGGGACGGCCAAGGTCTTGGACGATCCCACTCGGCGGGCAGCCCTGTTCGACCTGGCGGGGCAAGAACGCATCGCCCAGGCCATGTCCCTGGAAACCATTACCAACAACGGCGGCAAGATTCTGGGGCCGATCGCCGGTGGGCTGATGGTTGAATTCTACGGGTTCACCGGAGCATTCGCTGTGCTGGTTGTCCTGGACCTGGCGGCGGCGCTACTGATTTTGAGGATGCGACTACCGGCCCGATCCGCCGCGATGATGCGGGACACCCTGTTCTGGCAGGGCATCAAGTCCGGTATTGGACACTCCTTCTCCAACAAATTCGTGCTGGGGGTGCTGTCGATATCCCTGGTGATGAACGGAATGGTGCTGCCGCTGCAATACTTCATACCGGTGATTGCAACGACGTTTTGATGGTGTCGCCATCTTTGGGAGGACTGCTGGGATCTGCCGACGGCATCGGCACGTTGATCGGAGCAATAACCATCTCGCTACGCCGGAGTTACACTTTCCATGGGCGCTACTTTGTGTTTGGAGCTTTGATTGTGGCGGTCGGGGTGGCGGCGGTAGCGTGGTCGCCCTGGTTCGTGATTTCCTTCCTGCTGCTCTTGACGTCCGGGGTGGGCCAGTCGGGATTCAGCACCATGCAGAGCACAATCCTGCTGCTGTCCTCTCCAGCGGAGATGCGAGGGCGGATCATGGGTTCACAGGGTTTGGTGAACGGCCTGGGGCATCTGATTGGCGGGGTGGAGATTGGAGCCATCGCCCAGGCCTTCAGCATCTCGCTGGCCATCGGGATCAACGCCGGTGTCGGCCTGTTGCTGATGCTGCCAGTGATACTGCTGACCCCGTTAGTGCGGCGTCCGGTGGTGGCGCACCAGCGCCTTGCCGTACCTTAAGAACGATTCGGAGGAAAGATCCTGGAGCAACGATCCGGAGCAACGATTCGGCAGCCCGGTGGAAAACCCGCCTGGCAGCTGACTCCGGTCGGCGCCGGCTTCCACGCAAAAGGCGCATTGACACTGAAGCGTACCCATTTATGGGCCGGTAATGGACCGAGCCGCGCCGGGTGGATTCACTGGATTACGCCCAGACAGAAGCGCATCATGGCGGCGACGGGCGATTTCGCCTTTAAAGTGTACGAGGAGCACCATGCCTGAACGCACCACAACTACCACCTTGAGCCACTTGACGCTGGAGTCCGGGGACCGGCAAGACATCCCGCACAGCGAGGTTACAGACGCCACCGTCCAGATGCTGATTCCGCTGCTGCAAAGGGCGTTGGCCGGCGACCCACAGGTGGTGATACCGCCCACTAGTTACTGGTTCAAGGCCCGGGAAGCAACCGCAGACCAGTCGCTTGACGAATTCCTGCGCGTTGAGTTCGGTACCGTCGCCAGCGGGGTTGAACCCATTGTTGACATGACGGTTCGGCCCCCCGCAGCAGGCGGCGACGCGGCCATCATGATGACCAGCATCGGCGGATGGTTCGACGCAATCGCCACGGGCGCCCTGGGCATCAGATCCGATGCGGATCGCGTCGCCAATGAGATTACCGAACTACAGGGGTGCATCGCCTGGGCTTGGTTGGAGATGCGGGGGTATGCCGACCGGGACCAGACGCCGGCTAACCCACTGGAAGTGTTGTTCGCGGCGGGCGGCGGAATGTTGACAACCATCGTGCAGGAGCCGGGACAATCACCAGAAGTCTGTTTCCTGGTGCAGAACACGCCGGAAGCCGTCCATGAGCTTGCCCCGGACCCGCACATCCTGGCGCAGACCCGATTGTTCAAGGTGGGCGATGTGTACCTGGTGCCGCTGGTAGCCCGCGTGGGGGGACACCTGGTACGAATCCTGGATCAATCCCTTCGCCGACCAGGGCCAGGGTTTGGTGGAACTGGAAATACTGGCGGCGCAGGACCGGATCGTATTCCTGATTTACGATGGCACGTCGCTGAACCCGGCACACACCATTCAAATATCCAACTCGCTGGCCGACGAAATGGCAGAAATCCGGCAGAGGCTCGAAGGAGTTGCGGCCTCGACGGCGGAGGATTTCGCCGTGGCGCGGGAGCAACTGTACGCTGCCTACCCCACGCCTCAGGATCTTATCGCCGGGCGGGACTGGCCCCCCGCATAGGCCGGTGGGGCGTGGCTGATTGTCGTGGGATAACCAGGGAACCCGGGGCCAGTGAACCGCTACCCAGCTCCGAGGCCCTTCGATTGTCCCCTAATGTCATTGCGAGCGCAGCGTGGCAATCTCGTAGCCGTATCGACCAACGCTGTCGCCAGTTCACCTTTGGCCGCTCCGTTCCGATAATCGAAAGGCCCTGCTACCCAGCCCCGGGCCCTGGCTTAGCCGTTATCGTCCTTCAGGCTGTAGATCTGGCCGGGACGCCCGCCATCCGGCAGCCCCAACGGCAGGTGGACATTGAGCAAGTAGGGACGTTTCTCCTCATCTACTATCCTGAGCCCCCGCTCGATGGCGTCGCCGATGGCTGCCTCGTCGGTGGCGTCCATCGCCTCCACGCCGAAAACCTTCGGCAAGCTTTACCGGGTCGATGTTGTCCAGCACTACGCCTCGGTACTCTCCGGTTTCCTTCATGTCGGCGTTGGCGTTGGCAAAGGAACTGGCAACGATACCGTATGCCCCGTTGTTGGAAATCACATAGAGCACCGGGATGTTATGGCTGGCGGCAGTCCACAAAGCTGAGTCCGAGTAGTACAGGGAACCGTCTCCGACCAGGCCAACCACCGGCTTATCGGGGGCGCCCAGCTTGGCGCCGATGGCCGCTCCCACGCCGTAGCCCTCCGAGCCACCGGCAGGACGAATGTACTGGTTGTTTCCCAGCTCACCGGAATTCTGGAGGAGGTCCTGACCGACGGCGAACTGCTCGATGGTTACCAGGCCGCCCCCGCGCCGCTCCAGACCGTTGTCAGAGCGTCGGCGAGGACGAAGGGCCGGACTTTCCCCTGCTGGGCAGCAACCCGCTGGCCGGCGTCCCTGCGGCGAGCGCGAAGAGCGGCTGCTTCCTCCCGGGCCCAGGCGCGCCGCTCTGCCAACTCGTCGTGCGACGACTCGGTCATTTCCAAAAGGCGCTGGGCCGTGCGTTTTTCGTCGGCCAACACGGCTAGGTCAAGACCCGGGATGTTCTCCAGGTTCTCCGCGTTGGAACCCACTGCGATGGTTCGTTCGGTCTTGAAGAACGCCGCGTAGTCGTCGGCAGTGCCGGCTCCGTTGTGGCGGACGCCCCAGCACAGAATCAGGTCCGGGTCGATGTCCGGCGCCTGTTCCAGCCGCCGCCCCTCCGCAGTGCAGCGGATGTTTGATGGGAACGCCCCGCAAGTCGCCCACCACCGGGATGCCAAAACGCTCCGCCAGCGCAGTTACCTCCGCGTCGGCTCCGCTCTTCCAAATGCCGTCGCCGGTGTAGAGCAGGGGCCGTTTGGCGTCGCGAAGAGCCCGGGCGATGGCTTCGACGTCGCTGTCCGATGGATAGCCGCTGCGCAGTTCCGGCAGGGGCCCGTCCATGATGTTGGCAGTATGCTCGGCTGGTCCCAACAGCCGGTCGTAAACGGCCAGATGCACCGGACCCACGGGCGGCGTCATCGCCACCCGCATGGCGCGCTCTATGGCCGCCGGCAGACCCTCCGGCTCGATGACCGTCCAGTTGGCTTTGGTGAGGGGCGCGCTGATGGCAGTTGGCCCGGCGTTGTGGGATACGTCCAGGGCTAATCAGATCGGCAAAGCTGCCGGTGTCGCCGGCGAAGGTGATTACCACCACCGGCAGGCTGCCCGTCCAGACGTTGATCAGCTGTCCCATCGCCTGGGCCAGTCCGGCGCCCAGGTGCACCACCATTACGGCGGGGGCAAGGTTGGCCTGGGTGTAGCCCCCAGCCATCGCCGTTACCGCACCCTCGTGCAGGCCGAGAATACCGTGAATATCGGGCCGGGCGTGCAGCTCGTTGAAAAACAGAGCTTCCCGGGATCCTGAATTGTTGAAAACGTACTTTACGCCCAGCGACGCCAGTTGCTCCACCATGAGACGCGAGGCATTGGCCGTCATTTGCCGTGTCTGCATTCGATCACCTTCTCGTTGACCATTTGTGGCGTCCGCCGATTTACCGCCGCAGCGGTGGCCGGGCCGGCCAGCGGGTTTGTTCCTTGGGTTGCGCCGGCAATAGTACGGCGGAAGGTGCCGGTTGTCCAATTCGCCGCCGGCCTCATGCGTACCCACTTTGTCATTGCGAGCGTAGCGCGGCAATCCCGTCGCCGTAGCAGCGGCGGTTCGCCGACGCGTATTCAACCTTATCGCGGTTGCCACGTCCCTCGACGAACTCGGGATGAGCGGGCGCTCCTCGCAATGACAGATTGAGTGGGTACGCGTGAGCATCCCACCCCTCTTGCGTACCCAATTTTGTCATTGCGAGCGTAGCGCGGCAATCCCGTCGCCATAGCAGCGGCGGTTCGCCGACGCGTGTTCAACCTTATCGCGGTTGCCACGTCCCTCCACGAACTCGGGATGAGCGGGCGCTCCCCGCAATGACAGATTATTTGGGTACGCGTGAGCGGGGCGGCTGGCGGCCTGGCGAACCGTTGCAACAGGCTGGTTTTTGCAAACGGTACGAGAACGGCTAGCGGGTTGCGCGGGTTGCAAGGAAAAAGTCCTAGAGTTTGCCGAGTTACATCAGCAGGTACACGGCCTGTCCGGTCATGGCGCTGTGGTACACCGCCTCCGTCCACTCCATGTAGTGGACGCCGGTCTCAAAGGCCACCATGTCGACCTTCTCCGTGCCACGGATGGCGTTGGTGAACTGCTCCTCCACCCGGTACCTGGCCTGGGTTTCCGGTGGGTTGGAGACCTCCGTCAGTTCCCGGTCGCCGCGCTTCCCGGCCCACACCTTGCGCTGGGGATCGACGTGGATGGTGCCTTCGGTGCCGAACATCCAGATGTGATTGCCCCCGTTCAGCCCGGAGGTGGCGCTCATCTGCATGTGGACCTGGGCTCCGTTGGCCAACTCATAGAGAATATCAACGTGGTCGGGAATGGCGACCGAGATCGGATAACCATTCTCGTCCCTTCGGTAGGGCACGTGCACCTTGGACATGGCAAACACCCGGTCGCCCCGACCCAGCCATCGCATCATGGACTCGTAGGATGCGCCGATGTTCAGCGTGTTGTAGCCACTCAGCGACCGGTCGTGGCGCCAGTGCATCGGGCCGTCAAAGTCGGCGAAGTTGTTCTGCAGAGACGTGAAGTCCACCGACAGCAGCTCGCCCAGGTGCCCGTCGTCAATCAAACGCTTGAGCACGTTATCGATGGTGTAGCTGGTGGACGTGGGGGTTAGCTGAGAAACCAGGTCGGGATGGGCCCGGGAAACGGCGAGCATATCGCGAGCCTCCGCAGCGGTGGAGGCCATGCGCGCCTCGGTGAGCACGTGTTTCCCCGCGTCCAGGGCGGCCAGGGTCATGGTGCGGTGCATATAGGGCCAGGTGCCGATGCACACGGCGTTGATATTGTCGTCGTCGAGCAACTCTCGCCAGTTCCCGTACACGGTTGGGATGTTAAATTGGTCGGCGATGGCTCGCCCTGACTCAATGGACCGGTTGGCTACCGCCACGATCTCGCAGTCGTCCACACCCTGAAACCCGGGGATGTGGCGCACCCGCACGTTACCGCCCGCTCCAATCAGACCCACGCGGATTTGTTCGTCAGCCATCAGCTACCTCCTCAGCAAATTCGCTGGAATCACACGGTCAAAATATGGTGTGCGGTTATGCTTCTGCGCCCTGTTCCATACCCGGCGCGCGGCGGCTCACCGTCAGAACGTCCTGCAACGCCGAATTGCAGTCTCATCGCGTTATCCGGGTTCCGGCGGACTGCTCTATAAGCGACGCGAGTGTAGTGTTCGGCTGTTGGGCTGTCAATCAGCGCCCATCTGTCACGCGCACCCACTTTGGCATCGCGAGGAGCCTAACGTTAATCTGTCATTGCGAGGAGCGCCCGCTCATCCCGAGCTCGTCGGGGGAGGTGGCAATTTCGATGAGGTTGAACATACGTCGATGAACCGCCGTAGCTACGGCGACGAGATTGCCGCGTCGCTACGCTCCTCGCAATGACACGTTACTCGCAATGACAGATTAAAGTGGGTACTCGTGAGGAGCGTGGCGCTATTGCCCCTTCCATACTCGGGATGTACACTCGGTTTAGGCTCTGCCGGGAGGTGTGACAAATGGCGATATCCGATGCGACCCTGAAGAGAATGATCGCCGAATATGGCGGGTTCGAGTTGTCTGACGCTGAGCTGGAATTGGTCCGGCCGGAACTGGAAAGCTACCTGACCGAACTACAGAATCTGCGTGACCTGGACCTGTCTTCGGTAGCCTCCGCGCGCTTGCTCAGAGCGGGGGAAGGGAGTAATGAAGATGCCTAACTCCGAACTGCTCAAGCTGACCATTTCCGAAATCGCACCCATGATCCAGGCGCGGGAGGTATCTCCCGTGGACTTGACCGAGGCAGCGCTGGCCGAAGCGGAACGCCGACAGCCCACGCTGAACTCCTTCATACCATCCTGCACGAGCAGGCGATGGCCCAGGCCGAACAGGCGGAAGAAGCCCTGTCGCGCGGGGAATATCTCGGCCCGCTGCACGGAATCCCCATTGGCATCAAGGACAACATCGCCACCGGGGGGATAACCACCACCGTTGGCAGCAAGGTCCTGAAGGACAATGTACCTGACGAAGACGCCCGAGGTGGTTCGCCGCTGCAAGGACGTGCCGGAGCATGATCCTGGCAAGAGACTCGTGGAAGAATTCGCTGCCGGGGCCACGTCATAACGCCTCACTTGCGCGGTGCATATCTGGGGCCCCTGGATGCACATCCGGGCGGTTTCCGAGCGGCGGCGGCGGCGGCGCCGCCAACGTGGCTGCCGGGGTAACCTTTGCTTCCCTGGGTACCGACCTGGGAGGGTCGGTGAGGCTGCCCGGCGCTTTCTGCGGCGTGGTCGGCCTGAAACAGACCTTTGGCCGGGTGAGTCAACGCGGACTCCTGGTAACCAGTTTCAACGGCGACCACATTGGCCCGATGACCCGATCGGTGCGCGATAGCGCGTTGGTTCTGCAGGCCATTGCCGGCTACGACCCTCTTGACCCCAGCACCGTGCCGGTTCCGGTGGACGATTACGCCCTGGTACTGGAGCGTGGCGTTCGCGGGCTGACCATGGGGATCCCATCCAATTAACTTTTACTATTGTTCGACTGCTTGACCCGGTGGAGGGTGGAACAGGACCGTTCGCCTGGATTGCCGTTTCGATTGGAAGAGCTGGCATCGGCCAGTCCGCTAGGTCAGCGTTACCAGTAGTTCAATACGCCGTTGCCCCTGGCGCTTCTTTTCCAGCTGGCCGACAGCGTGGTAACCCATGAGCCATTGATCGCGTCCAACCGCGAGGACTACAGTCCCGACACGCTATACCGCACTCTGGCCGGGCAATTTGTGCTGGGCAGGGACTATTCGAAGGCGCTGAAGGTTCAGCGAATCATCAAGGAAGAACACGCCAGGGTTCTGCAGGAAGTAGACTTCCTGGTAACCCCGACGACGCCCCTGCCGGCTCCCCGCATCGACGCCGACACCATCATGATCGGTGGTGAGCGTCAGAAGGTCAGGGGCCCCGGTTCCGGTTTGATATCGCGCAACACGAGCCCGATGAACGCCACGGGGTTTCCGGCCATCACGGTGCCCTGCGGCTTCAGCGACGTAGGCCTCCCCATCGACTAAGTTCTCGGGACGCCCCTGGACTAGGGCTTTGTTCCGTTTTTTTTATTTTGGTCAGGCTGGTACGATATGTTTCGCCCGCCGGGGGGGCCGCTGGCCGTCCCTGGACTGATAACCGTTTTGACGCTGGTTGCGGTGTAAGGGCAACCAGCGTCGGGTTGCTTCGACCGCCATCGTCAGGCAACAGCGCCGGTTGCTTCAGCCGACCGGTTTATTTTCAGTGATGAAGACGGTGGCCATGACCTCCATTCCTCCGCACCGGAAATACGGCCTCTTGGCGCCTCATTTTTCCAACCCGTGCGATTGGGCCCTAATCGCGTTGTTCGCCTCTCGAAAGATTTCGCATCCCACCCGGAGTTTGAACTTCAGGAATACTATCTTTACTGCTCTGCCGGTTCCTGGAGCAGCAAAACTTCCAGGTGGAACGGGGCATCGGCGGTGTGGAGACGGCGTTTCGGGCCACGATACCGGGCGGCTCCGGAGATGGCCCCACCATCGCCGTGCTGGCGGAATACGACGCCCTGCCCGAGATCGGCCACGGTTGCGGCCACAATCTCATCGCCATGGCTGCCATGGGCGCGGCGCTCGGGCTGCAGGCCAACGCTCAGGATTTGCAGGGTTGCGTCGTAATCATTGGAACACCGGCTGAAGAGGGCGGCGGCGGCAAGATAAAGCTGACTGGTGGCGGCGTATTCCGACGGCGTGGACCCACCCTGTTCGGTCCATCCATCTTGCAGTCCACCGCACCGTAATACCCTCGGCAGCGCCGGCGGGAGAAAGCTGGAGCCTGGCGATGTGGGGCTACGTACCGGTTCATCTCTCCACGGCACAGCCGCTCACGCTGCCGCCGCACCCGAGGCCGGCATCAACGCGCTGAACGCGGTTATCCATCTGTTCACCGGCATCGACGCCATGCGCCAGCACCTGCGGGACGACGTTCGCATTCACGGAATAATCACCGATGGGGGCATGGCTCCCAACGTGGTTCCGGGATTCGCGCCGCCGCCATTTTCACTTCATGCGCGCGCTGCCAGCATCGTCATCGGTCCTTACCGTGAGCGACCGGTGGTCGTGGACAAGGTGAAACGGGGTGGTCGGTAAGGAGCGGCATTGATGACCGGACCGCGTCGGCGCGCCGTGAGTCGTAATTTTTATCCTTCGACGAGAACGTTCAGCCCAACGTGGCGCTGGCGCGAGCCTTGGGAGCCAATGCTGAGGCGCTGGGTATCAAGCTGGACGAACCGGTGGCCGGCCGGCCGGGCAGCGGCGCGTCCACCGATTTTGGCAACGTCAGCCAGGTGATGCCGGCCTTTGAATTGAGGTATGCGGTTAGCGAGCGTGCCGGTGCTTCCGACACCGGCAGTATGTGCGAACCGCGGCAACCCGACTGGCTCTCTCTCCACTGCCCTGTCCGTTGCCAGCTGCCGTAGGCCTGACAGCCGGCGACCTGTTGCGCGACAATTCGTTGGTGGAGGCCGCAAAAGCCGAGTTCGCGGACAGAACCGGCTGACCAGGTTCCCGGTCTCGAGTGCGGTGAAACACGAACCTCCGGATGTGGGTGTCATCCGAGTGTTTTTTACACACTTACACCCTCCTGCACCCCACCTACACCCACGTTCCCTTCTGACGTCTCTGTCCTATTCGCCGGTGTCCACGGCAGTCGCGGCAGCGAAGAAACGGTCATCGCAAGGCACGGAGTCTCCCGCGGCGCAAATTCTAACGCGATAAATCCGTGAGTATTCGCGATGTAGTACGGTGTTTCGTGGTGGGGAAGGTGAGACTGCGAGGCCGCCCGAGAATACGCCTCGAATAACGCCAGCCGCATCGGGAATCGGCCGGTTAAACGGCTATGTGTATCAGTGTCCGGCGATACTCGCCGACGCCAAGGGCGGCAAAAAGGGCGGCAATCGCGGCCCTGGCCTCGGTGGGGATACGGTCAGTCAAATTCAATAAGAAGCCGTCGCTTGGCACTATCCATCGCCGCCGCGAAGTCCTCGGCGGCCTGTTTTTGCCAGCCGGGGAGTGAGTGGGCGTAGATGTTCGACGTAATCGACACGTTGGCGTGGCCCAGGCGTTTCGACACGACCACGATGTTGGTTCCCTGCTGCAACGCGACCGAGGCTGAAATGCGTCAGGCAGCTCCGGTGGTGTTTACTCCGCACTGGATGATGCGCCCAACACCAGAGCACCGACGCGCCATCCCACCACTTCTTGACGGCCTTAGGCCAGAGTGATCCGCACCTGGTCCAGCCAGCCGCCGTCGCCGTCGCAGAATACCTTGCCGTCATCCTGATAGATGGCGCCCAGCTGCGCCTTTAGGTCGTTCTGACGCTTCCGGTGCCGGCGTAGCACTTCGACCGTCTTGCCGTCCAGATCGACTTTGCGTTCGCCGCTGGTCGTTTTTGGCGGGGATACTAAAAAAAGGCCCGCTACTGCAGTATCCATTTTCCCCCCCCCCCTCCTCCCCTCCCCCTCCCCCCCCCCCCCCCC